GAAATAGTTCCTTTAGTCCAGCACCACTGAACTCTTCGCCTAAAATATGGTCACTAAAATGTATCCCTATTCTCGATTCTTCCAGTCTTCAAGAGGGATCTTGGGATGGGCTGCTAATTTCAGCATCGTCTATGGTCTTGGTGACTACCACTCTCCACAGCCTGTCCACAATCTGTCTGACCTTCAAGGTCCTGAACAGGAAAGAGCGGTCCAACTTCGTAGTGCAGTAACTACTGAAAGACTGCTATTTTTTACAACGCCCCACCATAGTCTCTGAACATCCGGGCCGCAGTCCATCCCGTGAGCAGGGCAGTGATACAGGATTATCTATACCGGAGTTTGTGTCAACGTGCATACATACAGCGAAAAGGCGGGTCGAGTCCGTATCCATAGCTAACAACCCCCATCCATCCGCCATCACCAGCGTCTTCGGTAGGAATTTCTGTTGAACGTTGGTGTTGCGACTCCTCATTAGCACAATGTCTATCATCATCATCATCAGGGACAGTAACATCAGTCTTGACACTGATGTCTCACTGCCCTACAGCTACAAATTTTATTTAGTTGTATGTAAATCCTTGAAGTGACAATGAGAAAAGAGCGGATGAGGGGGACTAGTGCTAGTCTATCGCAAGAATCTTCTGGAGCTTATACCTCTAAGCGCTTAATGAAGCAAGCAAGAGAAAGAAATTGACAGCAAGACAGCCACTGCTATAGGTTATCCACCATTTCTGGTAGTGTCTACACCCCAGCGCAGACTGGTCTCGAGGTCCTCATTATGGAAGGCGGACTGCACCAACAGCACTGAAACTCTTCGTACTCTCTCTCATACCCTTCCGACAGATCATGCGTTGACGCCTAACAGTTTGCACCTTTCTAAAGGATGCGATCTTCGATCATGATCCGGGCATTTTTGATCCGTGCACTGAGTTCATCAGATACATTTCCGTCAGAGCTAATACAGCTGCCGAGGTATGTGACATGCTCCATAACCTCCAGTGCTTCTTGAGATACAAGGGGCATGTTCCGAAGCATGACTGCTCTGGGTAGGTGCAAGCGCATGCTGAAAGATGGTATGATGGTGGTCAGTTTACTCAAGAGGGATTGTGCTTGACCTTTGAAGGTTAGGACGATGTCGTTTGTGTATTCCAGATCGACAAGGTTCTCTCAGTGTCTGGAAAACCGGACTCTAGCAGAGAACCAGGTTACCATTATATTGTTCAGATATGAGGTAACAGCCAGTCTTTGCAGAACACACTTGACTGTCTTATGCCGGAACTAATCCGTAATGACATGATTCTATGTCCACTGAATTGGGAGCATTTGTTAGGACCGGTCTGAATCTTCACTGCCGCTGTCCATTGACGGCAAAGCGGCGAATTATTCCCTGGGTTAGATATCTCTACATGGGAATCTTGCCGCCAATACACACCGGTCATTGGAGTTGTAGTAGTCCTTAAGCGCCTTCAAGATGCATAATCAGCTTCCCATCGAAGGGTCAGTTTTGCATTGCGCAGGTGGTTCAGCACTTCTGCACGGTTGTGCAGTCTCGCATCACGAAACTGAAAGTGTCAGAGGACTCATGGTGTTTGATCATTGTTTACGGGGCATCTGGTGAGTCTGTTGGCTACAGTGGTTATGTAATACCGCAACCATAATAGCGCAGAATTGTATAATTGCATAGACCGTCGTCAATTCTGCTGTTTGAGGAAGGCAACTTAGCGGCTCCCAAGGCACGCTTTTTCCGGAGAATTGATTAATGATGAATAAATTGCTCAGAGAGCACAAAATGAAGCTGCCCAGTCGAAACTGAACGCATTTGGAACACTTAGTGATCGTTAACCAATGGTATCGTTTCTTTTAGAGCAATTTCTCGAACACCGGCGAGGTACGTGGTCACCTGACCCTTATTTCTTCGTCAGAATACCAGAGGGCCACATCTTCACTCGAAACACATAGTCCACACGGATCATCGATGAAAGTGTCACAATGACTGGCCCGAGTTACTGTCGGCAGCAGTTGTGACAGATATATCTAATGAATATTTTAAAATTTTTGTGTCCATAGCCTTCGAATCCGCCTTCCAGGAAACCCACGCGGGAGCGAACTGTCGATGGATATCAGGACGCGCTGCCCTTCACGAAAGAAAACATTTCAGTAAGACGACACTTGGACACTGCACGTTGGTCCCTTCAGAGGCAATTCACCTGCGATCAATGGTGGGTGAAGAAATCCAAGGAAATGGCAGAACTCTACTTCAAACCATTAAAATGAATGGCACAAAGTAGTATGGTATGCGGAACCATCTAAGATGGATTTGTTTTCTGCCTATTCAGCTGTCGTTTGCGCTGAAGGTGAAACACAACTCTACTTAATCTGGCCTTCAGCTCCAAAATAATACCGATATCACCGACTTGTTTTGAATCGAAAGTCAACTGCTCAACCATTTCTGAAAGGGAAATTCTTATGGAAATCAGATTTTTGAAAGGAAACAGGACCCCCGGTCTAGATTCTTCCTTCCCAGCTATATCCATAAGCATTGAATGAGGACTTATGTCCGGTGCGCTACTATAGTATCTGAAACGAGCCGAAATGGTAGCAGAATGGAGTGCGGAATGCGCAGAGCTTTCAGCCTACTTGCAACGGTCATAGGACTTTTAATGGACATTATACTGCGAAGGCCAAGCAACGCTTGAAAACAGCAGAGCCGTTCCGTATAGGTCATGATTCCAGTGGCCATGTCTGCACTGTTCGACAACTTCAAATGCCGTATAAAGTACAATCATCCTCACCATAATCATCATGGCCATAGAGGAGAATGTTGATAGCTCAGGTAGCATAGATGGTCGTCGGTTTGTTCGCTGAGCTGGGCAATTTAATTGCATTGCCCACACCTCATGCTTGCAGGTGAGCCAATCGACGTGATAGATAAATTTGTTTACCTGGGCAGTTGTATAAGTCCCGGTGGACTGGCTGGAGATGAGATTATTTCTCGAATCGGAAAGGCCAGGGCAGCTTTTGCCAACCTCCGACACCTATGGCGCCGACGTGACGTGAGTTTGTTTGTCAAGTGAAGAGTTTACACCGCGGTGGGGCGATCCATACTGCTTCATGGATCAGAGACGTGGCAACGAAGTACGAAAACACTAACCAGTAAACTAAAACGGGTGGGCAACTGCCGCCTCAATGGATGGGGACCCCGGGGCTCAAATCGCCAGTGGTTATTGACATTGGAGGAAATGGCCCAGTCACGCAGCCAGTGGCACTCGTGCATCAAAGCTATTGCATAGATACCCAATTTCCGAACAAGCTGAGCATACCTTCGTCTCCAAGGCTTGGTTTTGTGTTACACTTTCCCGTTTTCCGGTGATCGGAAGTTTAGCAGCTAGAACCAATGTACCTGTGGTAAACGGTTTATAGTTAATAAATTTGATTGCACAATGGTCGAAACTGTAACCACATTCCAGGAGGACTTTGTGGTGAGACAAAGCAGAGCGGAATGCGTATTGCATTTGTCGCTGCCATATGTGCTCAGTAGAGATTGGATGAGCTTAGAGATCATGGATGAGAGGAAAGGACTCTGGAGCACGATCAGCTACGCAAATCCGTGGTGAAGAATGGCGTCAGTCTTTTTCGTGGAAATAAAAGCCTCGAGGATTACATATCTCAGCAGTGGAGTCCGATTTCAGAAAGCATTTGCTTGCTTCGGGAATTGAGTAAAAAAGATCAGGGTGGTGGCCACCGTCTGGGGCGCGGTAGAGAGCCTCATTGGTTGTCTTCTAGCAAGCGGAATTGTTTTGTTAATCAGGGGCACTGCGATCGAGGGAAGTCAGTCAGACAACGCTCATGAGGAGCAATTGTAATTACAAACACCCACTTTTAAGCCAAGCTAGTTTGAATAGGGCGAGAGTTTCAGTTGTGAACCGTCTAATTCATCAGAAATCTGAGTTTCGGTCAGAATAGAACGCTTGTAGTAAATGAATTGAGAAAACAAGTAACGTCCCGGATGTTGGCAAGTGTTATATCATTCAGTTCGTTTGATTCCTGCAAGCATGGTAGAGGGAAACCAATTTTCGATTATGTATGTGTGATAAGAGAGGCGGAAAACTAAACTTAGCGAATTTATCACTTTTGCGAAAGGGGGTCGGCTGTACTCCTTTTTGTGGTGACCCGGGCTACCTACCATCGGTACGTACGTGTACATGCGAGTTTTGAGCTCTGCTCAACTAAATGCCTCAAACCGTGCAGCTGAGAGTGCCTCAGTATTGGCTGGTAAAGGATAGCTCTCATCAGGTGCTAAATGGCTTTACGTTTCTGATTTCAACTCATTTTTCACCTCAAACCATTCTTACTCTTGCAGACAGTCAAATCTTGCGCCTCCTTTTGGCAGGCAAGTTGATCGAAATACAGGAGGTTTGCTTGGATCATTGAATAGGGTGGGTTCCCAAATCTGGTGACCATAATAAGGTTTCTGTCCTTTGCAAAGGCTACTCCGACTCTTGAGAACTCCTGGCTGTTTAGTGAGGTTTTACATTTTCATTAATTGCCGACAGCAGCAAAGTCTTGCTGCCTGCCACTTGTATCGGAATGTTTACGTACTTGAGGTGTACGCTGGCGCGTGCTTGATCCGGGGTGGTATATTTTAATAGCTGCCGTCAAGTTTGAAAATTTCATGACTTGTCGCTTTCCTTTTTTAGTTCCTCGCAGAGCATTGTCCCGATGTTTACAATAAATGGCTGTGTGTGCTTCTGTGTTTAAAAAGAATGAATCGCGCCGCTTCTTTTTATGTCTGTCACGGGTAAGCCTTTCGATTTCTACGCATTAAACACAAATTCTTTGATCTCTAGGAAAAAGTTTCGTATAGTTGTTTGTGTCTGCCTGCTTCTTTCCTTCTATTCTTTTATTTGGTATTTTGGAAAATTTCGATTCCGCCCAGAATTTGTAAAAACTGGTATGTCAGGATGATGTCGATTTTCATTACTTCACTGCTGCCATTAGATAGCCTATCGATCTGTTTGGAGGACCGGATCAAGCCGTTTCAGCAAAAGATCAATGAATTTGATGCTTTCGTCCTCCGTTCTAATGCTCGTCAAACTGACGGACCGAAATCTATGACATTTGTTGGTAAGTCATACGAGTTAGCTGTACGTGATGCGCTATCTAGGCAACGGTCATATCGGATGCTCATTTGAGCAGGAGGGTCTGCTTGTTCAACATGGAGGCACCATGTCTAAATTGCTCAACATACCCGTTCTCATCAGTCTAGATGTGCATGGATATCTCAGTGATGGTAGGTTTCCGGTGTTCTTGATCGTTACTCATTTTCAGCCTCTCTTGTAATGGATGTGCGTGATGGGATCATGTACAAAATGAACTGCTTCAAGCATGAGGTGAGTAAACTTTGTGTCGTTACTCACTGATTTATGTTCTTTCGAGGTGATAGGCTGTTCATACCTGACTGTCATCCTTTGAGCCCCTTTCGGATCCTAATTTCTAAACAAGGCTCGTTTCAGCTGAGTCAATGGCGCTACGTGTTGTAACCGCCTCATCACCTAGTGCGTCTTTAGACTGTTAACCACCAGTAGAGTCCAGGTACGAACTAGCGGGGCAAATATTGTTATCGTCGTTCAGCTGTAGTATCCTTTCGGTGCCCAGCTGTCATGTCACCCGAAAGAAGCACGGGAGCTGAGGTATTGTCAGGCTTCCGGAACCCAGATAGTTTGGGTTCGGACCACGTGCCTTCCAGTCAGTAAGTGTACGTCTTGACCACCAAACACTCAAGCCCCGTTGCTTTTGTTAGTCTACTAGCTCCGGTAACGGCAGTCATGCCTCCTCCAAATTCGTACACGTGACCCACAACCTTACTGCACTGCTCGCTCAGAAACATCCCTCTTAGTAGGATGGTTTTCTACTTAATTTACCCGTCTTTTCGTTCAACGTTTTTTCAAGACTTTCGCTATTTACTGAGCAAGTTATTTAGACGGGACAGTATAGTATTTGTAAGGAATTGGAATTGACTGGTGAATCCTCCGATCATTTGCTAGCCTGGTGCATTAAATTTACCAAAATACTCAGCGGAAAGAATAGTTAGATGAACTGACTCAGTTCAGTAATAAAGAATATAGCTTTGTGTCCAATCCGTACAATGTCCGTCAAATATCTTGGCTTCTATGAGTATTGGGTTGTCGAATTAAGTAGTGTCACAGCACTGCAGCCAAGCAGGACGACGACTGAGCGCGATCTCAGAAGCAGATGTGGATTCCGAACATTAAAGCATATGAACGACAAAGTATAATTAGTGAGATAGTGATAGAAACGGCTCACCGTTGCAGTCCCCGGCATAAGTGGAAGGACAGTCGAGAGGAGAAAAATGTTCTCAAGCGAATTGGTCAGTGAAGTGAGTAGATAGTTTTGAAATACGACTAAAATACGTTTGTTTGTTGGGTTCAGATGTGTGCTTATTGCCCAGTACGATATTTTGCGTAGTTGCATTGGTGTTCTGCAACAGCTGTTCAATGCCCTATCTAGGAAGGTATGAACCACCTCATAGTGAACCAGTGAGCCCAAGTTGGTTAGATTACCATCACTTTTCGCGGATTCCAAAAAAAAACTATTGCACTGGGCCGGTGAAAGACTGACCAGTCGTCCGTTTCCAAACATTTTTCGTGTGTTCGTATTCTTCAAGTGCGCGCTGACTATTTCCAGACACTACGTCTACTGAGATAGTTTCGTTATGGCCAGGGATTCGACTCCAGTGACGTTTCGGCATTTTTGTCTACTCTGTCAATGTAGCCCCATACAAAGTCATGCACCATGTCAGGCCTTTTTCCTTGGACCACTTCGTTTTCAGAATGAATTGTGCGTTTCCTCAGGCACAATGGTGTACGCCCACCGGATCTACAACAGTCTGCTAGTGCAGAACTTTCGTGTGTACAACCCACTGGTAAGTCGACTTTCCATTTTTCAGCATATAATGTCTAACTCATTCCCCTAACGCCTCTTGAACCCATGGAATCCTAAACTCTCTGACAATGCTGCAAGTGACTTTACGCCGTATGACCAACTTCAGCCTCCAAATACCATGTAGTGGGACCCTTCTCACCGTTGCGTTTTGAACTGAGTTATCAGTGACTAGTCGCCTCCAATCCACCGTTACTACTACTGAGTTAAAGTTGTATTCATTGTTTTCATCGATTGTTACTTCTCACACTGAACTACTCGTCTCGGCGTGCACAAATTGACCGTTCAGCATTCCTCTGGCTGGTGACTGCACTGGTTTATCAAGGTGTGACGAAAATCTCGAAACTAATTAATATACGGGTGACCAGTGTGCTGATGATCAATGCCTATATCAAGTCCTTTGTTGAACCAATAAAATAGGTAACCTAATAAACAACGTGTGAATCAGCCTTTTAGTGTGTCGCCCCATACATTCTCTCTCTCGTTTGTTACGAGCTCTCATTGGTTTTGCGTTGTTATGTCCTCTGTGCCGTGCGTTCCGAGGAAGTATACCCAACATGACATTTTACTTCTCCCAATCCTGAAGGGCACTACTGATTTCAAATCTTCACTTCGATTGAACAGACTCAGTTTATCACAATTAACTCTTTCTGATAGTAAGTCAGCTAAACCAAAGACCACATGCTGCAATTGTTCATCCCCAACGATCTGCGATTAAACGTGCGAAAATGGCGGCACACTCTGGATCCCGACGTTAAATACTGTGGGTGGACTGGAAACCGAGATGGTCGAAGTCTCATTTGATGTCGGACAACAAGGCTGTCCCCGGTTACTATGTCAGTCTTTGTGCCGGTCTGAGTTGAGTGGTCTCTTCTCACCGTCCTGTTTGGTGAGCTGACACACATGCCTAATACCTTATAGTATGCCTCAGTGGTATTTAAATGGTTAGCTGGAATCCGGTACGGATATGTCTCTGAACAGTTGTTGGACCACTGAACGCCTCCGGCTGCTTATGATAGAAACAAGCGGTTAGGGCGGACCCGCATGCGCTACTATGGGTGATCCTGTGAATCCGACGTAAGCCATAAGGAATAGGGTCGGAAGGTAAACTCGCAAGGGCCTGTTGACTGTCATCGGTCGGTCCAGACATAATGTTTTCAGGATGGGCACTGGTTCCGTATAAACAATGAGATGCCGCTGTTATTGGTCGATTCTGTTATGTATCAGCACAGCGCTGCACTTCCCCCACACGTTACGCAAGGTCGTATCGGCTGGGGGTTGCCCAGGACGTTGGTTGTCATGACCAAATAGGTGGTGCAAGTGCAGCAGGGACCTAGTTTCATCTGTTAGGAGCTGGCACGAACTTATCTCAACCTACCCGTAGGCGCTTTGCAACTGATACAGTGTGGGAGTGCTGCTGTCCCGCAAGTCCAATTTTACTCGTGCAGCTGCGTCTACAGGTTGAGCAGCTCCATAAGCTTTCCGGTGTTGGTTTTGATATGCTCGTCGCTTTCGCATACATACTTTACGTTCGAGTATCAAGTATTGTTGAGTCTCGAAATGCGCCACATTTCCGTGGTTAGCTTTCATCCAGGCGCCTCTGTCTGGTACCAGACCTGTACATAATTTAAAATAAGAATGAGTTCTATTAGTTCTATTCCATGCATTTGCTTCTACGAAGAAATCACATGTTCGGGATCCCATCTGACCGATGTATGCTACCATTTATTCAGCAGTAAGAGTGCTGCCGGGGTAGCAGAAACCTGGACAGCACACTATCTCACAACAATCTGCTTCACACACGCCATTTCGGTCCGTCCACGGGTTGACGTAAAGCGGGCGTTTTAGGAATATTGGAATTTAAGCTCAAACAGGATGTTACAGACACGAATGATACCGTTAAACGGTGCGACTATACTCTGCACTGTACAATAAAGAGCTGTTATCTGATCATGTATATATACATAATAACAGCTGTAGCACCTTTTCTTTGCTTGGCTGCCATGCCACTCGAAGGAAGCACGAGGGCTGTGCTATTGATAGGTTACTCAAGCCTAGACAGAAGCCGTCAATTCTATATATA